GTAAAGTAATACTTCATTTATTATTAAATTAAAGTATAATAAAATAATTAAAATAGTATAAAAAGTGAATTTAGATAATTTTTTATTTAATATAAAAAAATTATAAAGATTTGTTAAAATTTGAATGATTTTTATTAGAAGTAATTATTAATTTTTATATTGGTGTATCAATCTTCTTGCAACAGCCCATACCTATATCTGCTACTATCAAGTTATAAGATTATTTATTTATGATTGTAAATAAGATAAATATAAAGTAAATAGTTTTAATTTATAAATACTTATAATTTTATTATTTGAATAATATTTAATGATTATTGTTATCATTATGATGCTTTGCGTTCTGTCACAGGTGGGTTGGAATTACGTAGATTTGGGGAAATTTGTGTGGTTGGAGAGGGCGATTAGACTAATTTTACCTGTTGGTCTAAATCCTGTGCCGATATCTACGGATATCGTTCGATTTGAGCGTTTCCAAAGGTGAGTAAATGGGTAATTATGGAAATGGAAAAAGGGGATTTTTGTTTATTAATTACTAACTATTCTATTCTTTTAATCTTCGCTTTTTCTAGATAAAAGCCTTAAACTCGGATCAATTAAATCATTCAATCAATGATGCGCTTCGCCTTTTCTGGACTAAAGGCCTAACCAAATCGTCGTCTTTTCTGGTAGAAAGAGCCTAACAAACACGTTAGAATTACGATTCTTTACACAAGTATTTCTCTTGGAGAAAAGGTTTTGTACGCAATTTTTTTCTATTTTTTTTTTAAAGGCCCGAGAGCCATTCGTTTTGTTATCTTTTACTATATAAAAAAAATACTATTCTAATTCTATCTAATTTCTTTATTTCATTAATAGGTCGAGCAGCAGTGAAGGACGACTAAAGAAGAGTGGCGTGGTTTATTGTACTGGAGAACGTGAACGATTGTGTTGTAGAATGCTGGAAAAATGGGGAAAACCGTCGCGATCTATATTATCGACAACGTGTGCTAGAAAATAGGGAAGCAATGCGATCTTGTGTGCTGAAGAATGCTACAAATAAGGGGTACGGGCGCGGTTACGAACGTGATGCTGGAGGATGCTGAAAAATAGGGAGTCGGAAATTATGCGGTGTTGTGGAATATTTGGCGGTCGGACGATTCCCTTCACGATTTCCAATTCGAATATGATTGCCTTAACGCCAATAGAAATTTACTTGTTTATTTCAATAAACAGGTAAATATTTCCTTCCAAAGTAAATTACAGTATTTAAACAAAAAAATTCTGAAATTGTCATATCAATTTTGCAATTATTATATTTGTTAGAGTAAGCAAAAAATAAGGCCATATTTTACATGATAATTTTACAAACATTAGCAGAAAAGGAATCAAAACGCCAAAAATATACAGTACATGTAATTAGACAAAAATTCTCTTCATCATATTCGTACCTATTTCTCACAGCATTACCACTTTTATTATAATATGTTTTAATAAGTCATTAACTCTTTGAAAATAAATTTTGTTAAGTTATTATAAACTTTTCACTAACAAAATATTTAGTTTAAGCTTATTATAATCATTTGTTTTTAGAGGAGTTATTCATTATACCTTAAGACTATGATTTTTTCTATGGCTGAATTTCGGAGAGTTTGCTAAGAATTTTTCCTATAAAAAATTATATCGTTTTATTATCACTGGGAGTTTAAGTGAGTAAATAAAAATCAATCAATCAAATTCTTACTATACAAAAACGGGCAATGATCAAGAAGCATTGTCCGGGAGAACCAAATTTCAGAGAATATTTTTTCAACGTCTGTAACTTCAACCATATTATATTTGTGTTCAGTTAATCGTTTGTATCCATCATGAACCCAATTTTTCTCCTCAACATCGTCATTTTGAAGATGACAAGGAATTCGGTCTTTGCCAATTATCCAATATAGTCGTCCCGCAGGGTATAATTTATGCGCAACCATTTGAGAATGGACAGCTTTTCGTATCTTCCAAAAGAACTCTTTCTTTTCGTTATCGTTACTGAACCCTCGTAAGAGTCTTTTGGTGAAGATGCTACCGGTGATACTTTCGTCTCCAGCCTTTTTTGAACCAAGATAGGCAATCACATTTCGAAGATCTTTAACATGGCCAATACTAAGTCGACATATCACGTCATTTCTATACGCAACGGATGTCACAAGAGTTTTAGCACGTTTGGATAATCCAGCAGACATCACACAAGGTGTTGCAAAGGCATATGCATGAACACGACGTCCTAATGG